TATTATTATTGATAATCTTACTTTTACGAGCGATTTTCACCGACCTATTGCATAAAACATTATCAGAGCCAATGAGTTTATGAGTGGTGCTGCTGCAGTGAATAAGATTTTACATTTTGATCAATTGCGTTTGTGCGCACTCAATTCTCAATGCCAAATGACACTACTGCGCAATTTATATGCACCATCCAAAGGGATGACGATGATTAGGGTGTTGATTGCCGTAAACTTCTTCAGAATAATCGCTAAAGAAAATCTGCATTCCAGTTTTCAGTTGTGCGCCATGTGATTGGCGATTGTAAATGTACTTACCAAAATTTTTTTGATATCCATTTGAGAAAAAGTTTCAGTTTCCGACAATTTTGTTTATGAATGATTATTAACTGCGTTTCTTCGATCCATTCACCAGACACTCGATTCAGAAACCATGCACTCAAGAGTCATTATATAGAAAAAGTGGCAACTTTCAGAAAGAATCTAATCGACTCATTTTATAATATGTTTTCAGTTGCTGCGTTCGCGTGTGTGTATGTGTATGTGTGTGTGTGGCATTTGAGTTGAACAAAGATCATTCGTTTAAATACTGAGCAAATGAACACCAAATGTATTCGCATGGTTTTTTTTTGGATCTGCTTAACGATCCTCTAGTATTGACCCGATAGANGATAAAGGTTTCCATCTGAAATTGCGTCAAAATTTCAGATTCTAGATCTCTGTTATTCACACATTCAGATAAAATGGCTAAAAGACGGATTATAAAGAAAGTGACGACAACAACAACAAAAAGCACGATTGTCATTGGTGGCAGACGTGCACCAATTGCACACAAAGCTTACAAAGGGAACGCAAGCAACCAGAACAGGACTAATCGTAACACGATGATTAGTAACTGTGGTCAGTTATTCAATTACATTTGCTGTTTGCAACCATTGTAGTTCTAAGCAGTAAATTACATTTGCTGTTGTTCAGAACTACAACTGATGAGTTGCAAAATTTTCGCAATATTTGAAAACTTCACTAGTTATCTATAATAAAGTAACAACATCGTTGCTACCAGACAGAAAGCAAGGAATCATTTCACTTGAAGCAATGGACAATTTTCTTTCCGTTATGATCACCCGAAATACTTCCTATTAGAGGCAAACGTTTGAGTTATTACCGCCACTACAAGCTCGTTGTTAGTGTTTAAATTTGCCAAGAAGAAGTGCTCACGTTCGAATGCTTGAAAGGAAATGAATATGTGAAACTATTTTCAGCCAGAATGGTACGACATTCCACACGAATACCGAAGAAGATCACACGTTTTACCGAATCGATTCCCGGTCGAGATATTCCAAAGAAATCAATCAAAACTCGTAAAATCTTGGAGCAACATCAACGAAAACAACCACAAAACAAGAAACAACACAAACTAGCAATACCCAAAAAAGACATTGTTATTGCAAAAAAGACAAAAACACCACAATCACCATCTTCAAGAGCAAGCCTCAAACGGCCTCCTTCAGATGTTGATCATTCGCTAAGAACAGGTGAATATGAGATGAACCAATTGTCGTTGTCTAATTCCAATGCTTCATTTCCATTGTTTAAGAAGGATGTAACGGTTCAATTGGTCCAGTACGATCTCATTTACGTAGATGGTTTTCTGAAGAACTGCTTTGACTTCATGCAATCTCATCTGATATATTGTCACTGGGGGAGGGGGATTCCTTAAGGATTGCTGGAAGATGGCAATAATTTGTTTCAGTTCTATCAGCTTTACATTT